TTTTTTTTTTTTTTTTAAAAGAGCATTTTCACTTTTATATCAGAAAAGAACAGAATAGTTCAGGCTTGATGGGGCTTCAAACACAGACTGAGATGGAATCTAACTAGAAAAGTCTAGCAGTCTTACCTCCTGAGTGAATCCTCCTCTGAAATTTCCTCAGGCATTTCCTGGTTTAAGGCGTCCTGTGATACATTCTCAGGTCTATTTGAAGCAGATTGGCTGTAAACTCTTTCCCAGTGCCCCGTCTCTTGATTAAAGACCCCTCTCACAGTCCTTTCCTCTTGAGGATTAGAAGATCTTCTCAGGGGCAGCCTGCTAGAGGGAGAAGTTCGGCTTTCCATTCTCTCAGAAGGTGGTAGTTGGCTACTGCTGGATGGCACCCCCTCAAATGTGCTTTGGGACTGCCCTGGTGCATAGCTGGGTGTGCTTCTTTCCCAGCGAAGTGTGTCATTGTTAAAAGTCAGCAGGTTGTGACAGGCGCGACAGCGGTTCAGATGCCCCCGTGACAAATTGGAATTGTTTTCACTGCTATGTGGGGTCTGTTGATGAGAAGGACCAGGCCTATCAGGCTCAATGTTGTTATTAAGCATTTCCTGGGCCTGATGTGACTGACTAGGTTCACCACTTATCCCCTGATCTAGTTCTTGAAGCCTATCATATTCCAAGAAGAACCGCCTCAAGTCACATTGAAGCTCATTGCGAAGGCTGGCTGGATTGCTTGGGCCAGTATTACTGGTGCTTTCTGCTTCAGCTTCAGGAGCTGGGAAACCCCTCCCTTCTGTAGCTGAAGTATATACAGAGGATTGGGAACTTCCTTCCTGCTGCCTCAGTACCGACAACAAACTCACTGAAGAGGCACTGGTTCTAGGAGGAGGCATACCTTCCAACTCAGAGCGAGGGCCCATATTCAACACTGTTCGAGTCCACTCTGAACCCTCTAACCCTGAGGCCATCTGTCTTGGGTGGATCCTGGACGGATGGCCTGACAAAGACCCAGTAAGGGATCTACGAGTGGGGCCCAGGCTAAAGTTGCGCAGGGTGTTGCCAGCAGTACTGCTCTGAACAGTGCTGAAAGCAGATGGTCGATTAAGGAGTCCCTGCTCCTGCTGTGCTGAAGATGCCTGCTCCTGGGGTTGGTAAGGTTCCATTTGCACAGAAGAAAAGGAAGTGCCAGTGGACCCAGAGGATGTGGAAGGGGCGTTGTCCTGGGATGGGAAGAGAGAAGATGGAAGTCTTGCACTAGAACATCGCCTGCAAAGGCACAAAACCCCCAGGTGCTGGCAACATTTTACTGAGGGGTAATTGACAGGCTCACTGAGGCCATTATAGGCAGATACTCTAGAGGTTTCACTAGCTGGAGGTGGTGGTGGTGGTGGAGGAGGAGGTGGAGGTGGTGGGGGAGGAGGAGGAGGAGGAGGGGAGGGTGTAGCAGAGTCTTGCATGGCGTTTTGCTCTCCCACCTGGATACCAGAAGAGCGTGACGACAGCATATGCAGGAAATTATGAAGGAGTGGTGTGCGTCTCACTGGTTGAGATTGGAGAATGGAACGCTGACGATAATGTGGTATTTCTGTACTATCCACAGGTATTTCCACCTCTTCATCATTCTGCAGAACAAAGTGCATACAATCAACTTAAAGAAAAAAAGGACCTCAAATAACAGTAAGACAGATAACGAACGGACACTTTTCTTGAATTGGATAAAATTACTAAGAATCTTTCTTTAAAATGGTCAGCTTAGATCCAGAAGATTTTATTTAACAATGCTGTAAATTCCCACGTAGGTATAGTACAGTTCTTTCAAAGTGGGCAGTGCTGCTAATACAGCTCAAAAAATGATCAGCATAAAAAAGGCTTTGGAGCCACCAACATAAAATACAGCAGGGGAAATATTACTATCAGCTCAGCAATACATCATACACTAGTTACGTATAAGCTTGTCTTCTTTTGTGTCCTCCCTCTCTGTATGAAAGACTAGAATGGATTATCCAGTAGTCACCCATTCAAATGCTTCCAGACTACTACCTATAGATTTAACAATTCTACATCATGTTATTCCAGACTAGTCTGTTTAAAACTAACAAACATATACAGCTAACTTAATAACAGAATTATACTACAAAGCATCTTCATCCTATATCCAAAACCTCAAACTTCTTACAGACAGAACATCTAACAATCTTCCAAGTGATTCACAGAGCAATTATTACCTGCTGGTTGGAAGGGTTAACAATTGCTGTGAGTAAGTAATGCCCAAGGGGATCAAATCGCACTAGTCTGAAATAGAAAGGAAGATTTAATTTTAACTCAAGCTGTTCAAACCAATAATACCTTCAAGTCCTAACAAACTTGCCACATTTCTAGTTCTCGAAAGAAAATAAGTGCCTGATTTTAGAACTTCAAAATGATTTTAAATAATCCACACTCCCAAGCATAAGATCAAGTAATTGTCTGAGATTGCATCCAACTCTTTAAACAGCAACACTTCTGCACAATGATCCATTCAGTTATCGTTCCAGTTTGAGAGAGAGAGAGAGAGAGAGAGAGAGAGAGAGAGATACCGATACACACACACACCCTACTATATTTCAGAGAATATATAATGCTTCCAATTTATAACTAGAATAAAGAATGTCAAGTTATACATATTATAAAGGAGTTGTTTAAACTGAATTATTATTTCAGTAAGTAATGTTAGTTAATTTAATTCAAAGTGATATCTTTATACCTTTTGTGCCTTGGATAATTGTAGGATTAATGTTACTGGGATCATCTATTATTTCCTGCTCTTCCAAAAGAGCAACCACTTCATTCACTGATTTGTCTACAAACACTAATTCCCAGATAAACACAATCTTTGCAGGGCTGTTTCAGGCAGTCTTAGTTTTCAGGTTCACCAAGACTTATCTGGTAATTTGATCCTATCAGCCAGCCAGGACATAGTTGGGCTTTTGATGCCTCTGGCTAATAAAAAAGCTGGACTAATACTAATCACTAAAGCAACTGCCTTTTTATGGTTTAATATTGTATTGCTTTCAATAAATATTCATGCCCACATGCATATTCTAAGTGCCTCAGTTTCTGCTGTCACTCTACATTAAAAGTTCAACATATCTCATGTTATTGCTCAACTACTTTGTTGTACTACTTGTGAAAGGCTATAGTTGTTGAAGAAGTGTAACAGGATAGGTGAGTTGGAACTCATTAAAAATGACATACATCTCTGATCTAGATAAGCAATACTGTTTCAGAGTCTCACTGGTATGAGATAAAGAAATATAACAATAGGCGGTTCCAGCTATCAACTTGAATAGGACTATTGCTAATCTTCAAACTGAAATAACTAACCTCCACTTTTGAATACATTCTTCCTTTGGAAAACTCAGAATAACTTATATACAGTTCCCAGGTAAGTTTCCAAACTACAAGCCGTCATCATGTGCTAAGATCAATTTAACACTGAAGCGCAATGGACAGCAGTCTCCCAAAGTTCATCCAATTTGTCAATTACTCATTCTCGTTTTTGATCTATAAACATACTCCAAGTGATTTCATCCTGAGGATTTCTTCTAACAACAGTTACCCCTCTATTTTCTCTTTAACTAGATACACTCACAGGATTACTCACCGGACCCGCTCCATTTCACTGGCTGTTTTCACAACTGCAAAAGGCTCCCGGCGACTCCAGTCCCAGAAGTGAATCTCATTGGCTGTAGCAATTAGCAGAAGTTGGGCCGTTGGATGAAAAGCCAAGGATGCAATGGCATTGTTGCTATCTGTAAACCAGCTCTCACTTCCACCCTGAGAGCAAGTCAGTTGAGAGTCACCAATGGTTTTGAAACAAAGTCAAAAAGAAACTCCCCTGTCCAAAACATGTTTCTATTCTCACCTTTAGCTAGATTTAGATTTGAATAATAAGGATCAGCACATGCCCTTTCATTTTTCATCACATAGACCCCACCCTGCACAGTGAAACTCTAGGATTCTTTACCTCATTTACCACAAGCACACTGCAATATATTGTCTGTAGAAGTTACCTAGGAATTATCACACATTCCAGAGAAATGAGAAAAAGGTCATTTGAGTTGGCACAAACATTTCAGCTATTCTACACTAGGGAAAGATAATCATGAAAAATGCCCATTCATGCCACAGAGTTTTATTAGAAGCCTTTTTTTAATATATAAAACCAATCCAAAACCCATCATATAGTTCTTTAAATATCTAGAGTGGAAAGTCAGTAAAGTTACCTAAAGCAGCAACTTCCCTGTGACCAAATTATCCATTCGTAAAAAGAGAAATAAATGTGCACTAGAAAGAACTTACATGCAAATCCCAGATTCTAACTTCTCCATCGAGGCACCCTGAAGCGATAAGACCTGGGATAGTGGGATGAAAAGTTACACACCATGGTGTGCGTCGATGTCCAACTAGTGAGTGAACACACTTGCCCGTTTTCACCTCTGTGATGTAAATATTGTGATTCACATGAGTTGATGCCATGAGGGTCCTGGAGAATTTTTCAAAGACAGTAGTTATTAACTTTTAGCATTTTTAAGGTAATTATTATGCAATATTTGTTTTTATGAACAGCTAAATATCACGCATCAAGTATTAATGATTAATATATATTTTGTTCTAGTAATGTAAATATTTAATAGAGTGGATTATTATCAACATTCTTCCATCATATTCTATGAAGCAAAACAAAGCAGATTGTGATCTGTAAACTTAAAAGAATGAGAATCAAAACTTCATTGAATATAAAGCTTGCACGTTCTACACAAAGACTGATAGATTCCTATAAAGTCCTCTCCACCACACATAATGATAGGAATGCCATTAGCTTTAATGGAGACTCCTGCCATCATGTTCAGAACCACTTTCTAACTCCTATTATACTGATTAAAAAAGTGGTTCATGCTAGATAGAATTATCTTCCCTTTGAAAACTCAGATTTTCAGTCTAAATTCAGTCCTTGATTCAGTTCTGAACCTGAGCACCCATATTTTGGTTATCACCAGTATACAACTATAACAACTGCACCCTTTCCAGGAACCATCAAATTTGGTCATGTTATGTGAATTCATTATATACTGAAACATGTGCTAAATGGGACTCCCTTTGAAAAATTCTAAAAACATCAACTGGTCCTGAATATTGCAACCAGTGTATTAACTGGAGCCAAATACAGGTAACAACTGTCTCTACTACCTCCTAGTTGGTTCCACGATAATTTAAAGTACTGGTTGTGTCCTATTATTGAGAAAGCTTTCCCAATGTTGCTCCCAGATTTTGAAACAGTGAAATAGGCTACTTAATATCCTTCTACCGGTAAGCTATTTTTTTTTAACTCAGGCAAGCATTTAGTGAATAACCATTTTGGATACTGAATTGGGTAGGTACTACTTGTTTTATCAATATAATGTTAATGGTGTTTCAGTATTTTAGTATTTCATTCTTCACCTTAATCACCTTAAATGCTATTTTTTTGGTGGAAAGGCACAGTGCATTTCAAATATTCAAAGTCTGGAAAATACTGATAACTTTGCCAAATTCATCTTTTCTGAAAGAGAACATATTCAGAACATAATGGAAAATAAATAAATGTTACCTGTCTGGACTGAATGCTAGCAGAAAAGTGGAGCGTGGACTGTCCGGTAACTCAACTTTCTGAAAGTTAAAAAGTACAGAATATTTTCTAAGTACTTGTTATATATCATTTTTGCTTTTATGAAATCAACATTGGGAAAATCAGACATGTTCTTAAAACTTCCATATGTTATATCATTTCATAAAGGCTTCATTCTTACTTTAAAACCAGCACATATACAATACTATTAATCCAAATCCATTAACTCAGCAAGTACACTACATTCAACTATCCACAAGCAAAACACCCATACACAACAGCTCACTGAAAAATTACATATTTTGTATACTTAAGGATGTGTCAGTCCAAGATGTCTCCATGTAAAGCAGGAAAATATCCTTGTTCAAAACCCTTAAGAATTCCTGCCAATCATGATAGACAATATTGTATTAGATGGATCAATATGTGCTAAATGGCCTGTCGTACCTTGCCTTCCCATTTCATCCAACGGGTTTTGTCTTCAACCAACTCCTGCAAAAGACGCTGTGCTCCCAAAGCTTGTGTTCCCCGTTCTCGGCCCCAAAGGATTCGTACAGCATTCTTTTCTGGTACAACCTTCATGATTTTAGTGCAGAAAATGAGTCACTGACAGACACTCGATCACAAGTACCAAGGATCTACAGAAGGGCCATCAACAGCTTGCAAGTCTATCTTCATGGAAATCTAGATAAGAGATATTTCAAAACAGAGCCTAAGACAAAAGTTTCCTAAGGTCAGTACAAATACATGTATAATTCATTTAACTGTTAGCACTGCCCACCATTGTAGGATTTCTTTATCATTATCAGAATCTGAAAGGACAATTTAAATGTACTGCCTATTAAGACAAATGCATTTCAAATTGCAGAATGATGAGTCCAAGGTGCTCATTTCCTTTCCAAGCCACCACGCAGAAAGAGACTGTAAATAACAATGTACAGAAGAATCTGATTTTTTTTTTCAAGTAAGTATTTTTGTACTTGCAAGACATTTGGATGATTGTTAGAACATATTGCTAGACTGGAAATATATAAAGAATCAAATCCCTGAATTTTACTGAATATTTGTTCATAATAAGTTTATAATATGGGCACTCTAATCAAGTTTTAATTTGATCAAAGGTAAGGATCAATTTGCATTGTTCTCTTTTTGAAATATTTTGTGTACAAAATATTTTGAGGATAAAAGATTGTTTATTGAGTAAGGTAATTCTGAGGATAAACTATGTAGCCAAACACATAGAAAAATGCAGTTCCGTATTGTAGTAACACTTCCTATTTCTACAAAAGATGAATTATTCATTTCCAGAATTTTCCTATAGGCTTTGCCTACAGAAATAACTGATGTAGCAGATGCTACATAGCAAGTAGAAGTAAAATATAATCTTTAATTAGTTTATGGAAGCTTACAGGAAAAAATAATCATATCAATTTCTATAAACAACCAAGATGAAACTGGAGAGTCCTCATTACAATCTTAACTTTGTTGAGAACTTCCAAACTGCTGACCTAGACAACAGCTGTTTATGGAGGATAATATTTTTAATCAGCCACAAGAGGAGAAATTTTCCTTGCTAAACAAAGTTAATGTTCTGCAGAAATTACACTGCTCTCTGATAAAATAAAATCATTTTTACACAAATCTAATCTGTACTCAAAAATATCTGTAATTTCTCAAAAAAAAATTCTAGCACTTTTAACTCTGAGCACATACAGAATAGTTCTAGTAACTCTACAAAGCTTATTTAGTCAATTCAATTTTATTTAATGTTTATTATTTAATTGCTGTAAGCCACCTAAGTGCTTATACAAACAGAAAGGTGTGACTATATATCTCAAAAGATATAGATGCTAGTTTAGTTTCTATGTCAGTAAACAACCTCATCAACTTAGAGGCACTTGAAATAAATATTTGGCACTTGTCTTGGAGAAATTCATAGCCAAATAGGGAGTCCAGTAAGTTCTCTCCCCTCTTATCAACCGAATATAAACATGGTTAAATCTTTACTTTGATTGAAAATCTCAAGGTGAGGCCAGATATTCCTACTGTTGAAACATCCTCTCAACATTCTGGTCCAGAATATAATCTTTTCATCATAGATCAGTCTCACAGAAAACCTATTATGTCCTTTATGGCATTAGGAATTGATAAAATCTCTTCCTCCTTCTAGTAAAGGAGGAACTAATGCATTTCTGAATGATAATCAGAATGATAATCTAAGGAAGACATGAAGACAAATTTAAGCTTTTTTTTTTTTTTTTTACTATACTTCATAATATTAAATGTAGCAAATGACAAACCAGAGTCATAAAAAGGCATTTTTGTAAACAAGTTTCTCATTAATAACTTCTTTTGGAACAAACTAAAGAAAGCAATAAACAGATTAAACTTTCCCAACCAGAAAGAACATTCCAATACACAAATATTATGAAAACTACATATTATACAAAATGCCTAACTATAGAACATACTTCAAAGATTAAAATACTGAAAGACATAAAACATTTGGTCTAAAAGGCTATCATCTCTGAAAAACAGTCCTCTCTGATAAGCAATAACATTTAAGTGCTGACAATTCCACAAATACATCGAGAATCTCATGTCTGATGTCTCACTTTTAAACAGTGCTCTATGAGGATGCTTTGATTTTATAGAGAAATCAGTGTTTTTAGCACATTTCTCGAGTTTCTTAAAACTTGACAAAAAGAAGAGACCAACATTCAATATTATCTATCTTTATTCAGAAGTATGCCCCACTGAAATCAGGTGTAATTTCAAAAGGGCTGCTAACATAAGGAAAACATACTTTTTCAAACTGTTGTCTTCCAATTTTCATATTCTAGAATGCACAGCAAGGTTTTTTGCTTTATTAGAATTCATTCATTATTCATTTGCCTATTCCTCTGTCTTGCAATAGATCTGATATAGCTATGCACTGGTCAATAGCCTGTATAAATAAGATACTTCCCCAAATTAAACCTCTCAATTCCACCTTTTAGCAATAATTTATGTCAGTTTTAATCCTAAAATATTAAACTTCTGATCCTTGCTGACTACTGCGTGGTGCCACTGTTTACAGCAATTAATATAATCTAAGGGATATCATTTTTTTTACCCTTTCAATGAAGATAGTTAAATAAATACTCCATTCATTCATTCAATCAAACAATCAGTTTATATGGCCACCCATCTCAAATACATGACTCTGAGCAGCTAACAATAGTTAAAACAAAATAAAAACATTATAACAAAATTATAGGCATACTTCTTTAAAATGGGATTAAGCATCTGGCCACATCTTAATGAAATCTTAAAATGAAATATAACTAACCTAAACTACTTGGGAAGATAAGCTAAAAGTTGTCTAAATGATCTCAACATTAAAAAAAAAATCAGTTAATTACAAAGTGAAATTCAGTGAAGATAAATATAAGCTGTGTATACATATCTTTTCCAAAAAAAGGTACAAAAACAGGAATGACTGTCTTATGTGTAATTTACTTCCTTGAAGATTTGCAGAAAAACATAAAGAACAGGTGATGGTTGGATATTACTTTTATGATAATGCAAACACCTCAGTTTTTTGTAGAGAGACTGAGCTGAGGGAGTTCCCTATAATCTATACCTTGCTGTTCTTCCTTTGTGGGTGCAAAGCATATTTAATGGCTTCTGCTGCCACAAAAATGAAAGGATTACATTTGAATGTCAGTCATGTTAAAGGAGTGCATGAAGTAATTGACTTAAAATAAGATACAGTTCAATAAAACTTTGTAATATTTTGTTTCTGAGCAGGGTGTTGATTTTAGGATAGGAAAAAAGAATGGAGGAAAAAGAAGTGAGCTTTCAGTGTTTTATTTCATTTGTTTTTCCTTCTTCATATACTCTGTTCCTGCTGCCCACTTACTTCAACTACCATACTCTTATTTTTTAAATCATCCTGAATAATCTCATATTCTCTTAAAATTTTGAAAAGGCCCCCAAATCAGTGTCAGTTTTGTAAATTGACAGATAGATTTCATGGTACAGAATTAACACAGAAATAAAGTACACCAAATCAAACTTGCAAAATATTAACACCTCTTCCAGTGGCATGGCAGGGAAGAATATCCTAATATTGGTACCAAATATCAGACTGGATACAGTTCTACGAAAGAGGTTCTGTTCCACATTTGGTGAACAGAATACACATGGCTCCCAAGTCACTTCACATTTGCATATTCAGACTTGAGAGAAGGATACCCGGAATGAGTGTTCAAAAATATACTTGCAAGCACTTTAATGGTCTACCTAAAATATTAAAACTATCCTTTTTATCACTACCACACAGTTCCCCAAGCTATATTTCATTACATAATATCCAAGAGAAAGCAAGGCTGGACAGAACCCCGGGCTTATTTATACAATCTTTCAAAGCACATAACATTTATTTTTGAATGATTTTATAGATAATGAGAAGTGCCTTGCAGCAGAAGAGTCAAAGCCTTCTTGTTTAAAGATTAGTGTTAGCATACCCATATGCTTTAAAGGATGCTTTATTAGATTTACTTGTGTTATTAAAAGCACAGATGTTACAAGAAAAGAACACAGTTCTTTATTGGTAACACACTTTTTTGTAGTAATTGGGGTGCAGTGCTTGGATCCTTACAACTTACACATATTATTACATCATGAAATGATGGTTTGGAAAAAAGAACGTATTTCAGAACTGCTCAAAAAAGCCCGTTTTTTGAGAATTTTTATATGTATACATTATGGCAAGAATATAGATTTTAAAGAAAAGCATTTTTGTTTCCTTTTATATAAAAGAATCTGCATACATGTAATTGCCATATGATACTGGGGGGATTGGTCTGGGCTAGACTGCATTTATTGTCTCACAATGAGTAACACCCTTCTTAAAGGACAAACACCTGATCTACCCTGCAATTGTGATCAGAGATGTATGTCTCACTGGGCTCAATGGGGCTTTCTCTTAAACAAACATGCACAGGGTTACAGACTTGCTCTCCACTGAAAACTTCATGGTAAAAGAGAGAACGGAGCTCCGCATGTGAGAATGTTTCTAGCAGGGCAGCGGACCAAATTCTCCCCTTGGGGACCAGAGCAGGACAGTCCCATCTCTGCCTTCAAAGAGGAAAAGGGAAGCAGGAAAAGGAAAAGAACAGAAGGAAGCAGAAAATATTACGTGCGCGTATTTACGTGTGCTAAAACAAACCAAAGCCCATTTGGGGGGGAAAGACAAAGTATGCCAGAAGATGCCGCAAAAGCAAGCAAGCTCTGTCTCTAAGCAGAGGCCTCTTGCTCGGAGGGAAACTGACCGCCCCGAAAATATCATCGGGTGGGCCTGGGAGTCTCGTAACCCAATTCTCAGCCAGGCAGATTAATGACACCGAGATTACTGAAAGTCAGCTCGAGCAAAAAAGTGGGGATGCGCTAACCGGGCAGGCTCCTCGACTGAAAGACGGGTGCTCAAAGTGGGCGGACTGGAGGACTATAATCCGAGCTAGGCCTACTGCCTCGTAGCCCAGGCGACTCGACCTTCAGCACCCACTGGCCCTCTCCATTCTCGCCGCCATCCCCTCGGAATCGCCACTGTGGCCTTTCCCCGCCGGTCTGAGAGACCCGGCAGCCCCAGGAGGGGAAGCAGGCCCAGAACCTCTAGGCCCGGAGCCTACCTGGGGCAGGAGCGACCAAGGCCCGGCGGCGCACTCAAACCCTCCGAAACGGCCGGACGGTTGCGGGAACGGCTACCGAACTGGCCGTGATCTGATCTGGGGGGGGAACAACCCAAATCCGGCGACGATCTCCCCCGCCTCCTCCTTCCAATGCAGCTTCTCTCGTCGCTGCCTCTCCGTGTTACTATCAAGGCCAGTATGCCTAGCCGAGCACCTCGCAGTCGAGTCTGGAGCCGTCGCGAACGAACGCCGAGCCAATCGAGCGACGGAGGCAAAACTAGAACAGAGCTGACGAACGGAATTCAGAGAGCAGGATTGGTGGGCCTCGAGTTTCGAGAGGGAGGAAAGAGGAGGGAAGGCGGGATTTGCGAGAAGTAGATCTCCCGTGTCATTTCAATTCTGGATGTCATTTGCACCTCGCGACACATCTGGGAGAAAGCCTGAGGATAACAACCACAGATGCTTCCCGTCGCATTTCCTTCTTGCTTGCTTGCTTCCTTTCTTTTCCTTTCTTTCTTTTCCTCTCTTTCTCTCTCTTTTTGCCTATGTTTCAAAACACACTTCCATAAAGTATGATGAAAAAGAAAATTCACTCATGTAATTTTAAAATATTTTAATTTATTATGGTATGAGGTTATCCACCTGTCCTTAAAAGATTTGGGGGGGAGGGTAGCTAATTCACAAATCAAACTAAAGATGTATTTTTACTTCTAAACAATATAATTATTTCTTAAACAATATTCAGCATATTTTATTTCCCAAACATACTGAAAATTAGTAGACAAAATTACTGTGTGCTTCTCTGCATCTCAAATTTTTTAGGCATTTTATTTTGCTATCTTTTCTCTAAAACAAAGACATGTACAACTTTATTTTCAGCAATGTCTCTGGGCCCTATAAGGTTCCTAAGAAAATAAAAGTAATGGGCATAAGTAGTCTAGTGCTTTGAGTGGGATTGTGCCCACGTGCCCTCCAAAAGGTTAGTGGTAGGCCAGATTGAGTGGCAAGTATGGTTAGTATTGTGCTAGTACTACATTAACGACATATAGTATTCTTCAAGAAGCTAGAATGCTAGAATAGGTGACAAGTAGCATCCTGTATAAAGTATGAATAGTTGCTTTATAACTTATTATGTCCTGTGTAGCAGCCATGTTGTGAATGGCAAGAGTTTCCCACCCTCCTTAAAAAAGTCACTTTGTGAAATCTCTTACAGCATGTTCTCAAAATGTTGTAAATCTACCAACCTAAAAGAGATCGAGGACCTCTGCTCTAGAAAATATGTGTGACTAATGACTAGTCAATAGGATTGGCCATATCACCTAATTCAGCTGAAATGAAGTGTGCAAGTAACAGAAGGGGTGCTGAAATCATTAAAACTGGATGCTATTTTTTTCACCTGTGTTTTTTTTTAAAAAAAGTGGTTAAGGCACCAGGCTAGAAACCAGGAAACTCTGAGTTCTAGTCCTGCTTTAGGCATGAAAGCCGGCTGGGTGACTTCAGGCCGGTCACTCTCTCTCAGCCCAACTCACCTCACAGAGTTGTTGTTGTTGTGGGGAAGATAGGAGGAGGAAGGAGTATTAGGTACATTAGGTATAACAATAATAAAGGCGGGATTTAAAAATCTAAAAATAATGCAGTGACTAAACAGTAGTTTTTATATATATGAAAATAAATATGAAAATTATCTAAAATACTCACCAACCATTCCTCCATTGTGGGTAATGCCGAATCTTTCCATCTTTGTGCAAACAATAATCTTGCTGCAGTTACCATGTACAAAATCGAAGTTCCATGACTTTTTTCCAACTGTTTGTCCATCAGTCCCAAAAGAAAAATATCTGGTCTCAATTGTATATTAATCTTTAAAATCCTCTGAATCAGTGTGTGTATTTGAATCCAAAATTTTCTAGCTTTCTTACATGTCCACCAAACACAATAAAATGTCCCTTCTTGTTGTTCGCATTTCCAACATAAATTTGAAGTGCCTTTATACATTCCAGAGAATTTCTCTGTTGACATATACCAACAGAACATCATTTTATAAAAATTCTCTTTAAGATTATAACATAGTGTACATTTCAATTCTTTCAACCACATATTTTCCCATTATTCCATCTGTATATTATAACCAAAATTTTTAGCCCGCTTTATCATACATTCTCTCACTTGTTCTTTTTCTGTTTCAAATTTCAATAAAAATTTATACATTTTAGCAATTACATGTTCATCATTTGTACACAATTCTATTTCAAACTCAGTC